ATATATCTAAATTTAATTAAAATATTGTGATTCATTAAAACTAAGTACTTTATAGTTTCAACCATAAACAATTAAATTAAAAAAAAAAATCATAGTTATAAATAATAATAAGTTGATTAACAATAACAATATTAAACGTAAAATATTTAAATTTCTTGGAAAATAAAGTTTTAATTCTATAATCATCTTGAAACATTATTAAGTAGTTTAAGCCATTTTTTTAATGATAAATTGCTCCTCCAAGAACATCTTTCACTAAGTTATTATGTTTATGTTCTAGTATCACATCTTTTAATATTTTTAGTTGAATTATCATTTCATTCATTATACTTAGGTAATTGTTAATACCAAAAAAAAAAAAGATACTTGGATAATTAGATCAAACTCATCATAATTTCTTTGTCTTTCTCTAAAAATAAGGGAGTATGAATTAATGGAAGAAGTTACCAATAAGAAAATTAATTGAGAATAATATGTATAGTATTTAAAAATAATAATAAAAAATAAAACAAACGGGTCAACCCGTCAACCCGCAGGTTGACCCTAACCCAACCTGTGACCCGTACGGATTGATAAATACAAGTTATTTACGGGTTGTGGATTGAGATATGTAGACTCTAATTCGTTTTTACGGGTTGGGTTAGGGTCAGGTTGACGGGTTAGGTAAATTTTTGCTAGGTCTAATCTAAAACTATCAATGTTATTCATGAGTTCCCTACTCATTTAAGGATTTAAATTTAAATGAAGCTAATCAACTCAAAAAAAGTAGTTGTTACGTATTCCTAAATCTCTCTTCTTTCTAAATTTCTCTAGTCAATTAATGTTGTGGGCTTAAGTCTTCTTATTAAAGGGTGGGGGGTTATGTCTCTTCCTGTCATGTGTATCATGCACACACATGATACACATGACAGGAAACTTTTCTAGTCAATTAATGTTGTCGGCTTAAGTCTTCTTTAATGGGTAGGGGGTTATGTCTCTTCCTGTCATGTGTATCATGCACACACATGATACACATGACAGGAAACATTTCTAGTCAATTAATGTTGTCAGCTTAAGTCTTCTTATTAAAAGGTCGGGGGTTATGTCTCTTCCTATCATGTGTATCATGCACACACATGATACACATGACAAGAAACTTTTCTAGTCAATTAATGTTGTCGGCTTAAGTCTTCTTATTAAAGCGTAGGGGGTTCTGTCTCTTCCTGTCGTGTGTATCATGCACACACATGATACACATGACAGGAAACATTTCTAGTCAATTAATGTTG